ATAAAATAAAAATATTATTTTTATGTTTTGACTAATACCTTTGTCTGCTTTTGCCTTCCGCTAAAGGCGTTTGCTACAATTTATTAGTGTTGATTCGCCGCTAATGCGCCGCTCGCTGAGACCACGGTCAATAATTATGACAAACTCCGTCCCGCTTGTCTGTCACGAGACCACCGTAGATCCTCCACGGATTAACCGGATTAGACTACACGAAGACGCGGTCGGCCTCCAGTCAACTTCGTGACCTTTCGGTCTGTCGCGTTGCATCGCGTTGCATCGCGCTGCGACGCGGTGCAATACTCGTTGTCGCGTCGCTAATTCTGAAATATGACTGTCGTGCGTTCGCGTCTTTTCGCCCCGCATCCCGGCGATCTATTCAGCAACAAGTAACACCGTCGAGAGGGAACTCTCGAGGAAACTCTCCTGAGTAAAGCCTCTCCTGAGCTGCTGATCGACTCTCGTCGAATTTTCACGGGTCTCTTCCTCCGGAGGAAAAGAGCGTGACGGAGAAATCGAGCGGATCAAGGATAACGACTCGCGACGAAGGACGATCGTCAATCGGGGCATCGATTTTCCGGCGCGGCGTATAGCCGAGCCGGGAGATGATGGCCGCGATAAACAAACCCGACTCGCGATATCAAATTGAAAAGGTCCGGAGGAACTTGTCCCCGGGACAGGAGGCAAGAGGAACGCGCCCTGTCGCTCGCTCGCTCGCTCGCGAGGAGGAGAGGCCGCGAACGCGCCTTAATGGTGCGCGCAGCGGTGCACACGTGCGGATTCTGGTATGCGCTATATACGTGTTATAATTCACCTAGAGCAGTCATAACTCACGACACGGCTTCCACAGACGAGACAGTCGAGGGCGGAGCACTCTTCCGTATTTATTGCCCCCCGATGCGCGTGACGCGCATCCTGGACATCGACGAATTCTCGGCGAATCACCCTCACCCTCATATCTCGTCTCTTTGCCGCACGAGCGACGAAGAGACGTAACGTTTCGGGGATGGAGAGGAAAAGGGATGTTTTCCGATCGCCTCCTTCCCTCGCGACAACCTTCTTCGCTCTCGCGACAACGATGTGGCATCTTCCCTGCCAGTTGTTAAATATTTTAAGCATCATCCCTGGAAACGTATATCGCGCGTAAGAGGATACACTTCTGCCGGTAGTTAAGATGGAATAGCGATAAGAGATAGCGGTCGAGATAATAGACGCGATAGTCCCGCGATTCGTCTCAAGTGAGATGAGGGGAGCGCGATTTTTCGCCGTGTACAACCGCCGGTACACGTCCCGCACGTATGCGGCTGCATCGCTCTCTCGCGATGCTGCCGCATCCGGAGGTGCTGCGTGTCTCGCCATTGTTAAGCTTAGGATCCATTAGGGAGCGCCGATATTTATTGCATGCGAGCGCTATCAGAGCACAGCTGGCTGGATGTTCTTTTCGGCCGCGCGGAAAGAACATTCCCCCCGGCCGGACATACGTCGATTCGACGTCCGTCGATCCGGGATTTAGGGGGAAAGGATCGATACAACAAAAGGAAACCGATCCGAAAGCGAAAGTGATCTCGTTGTTTTTTTTTTTTTACGACAGAATGTCCGGGACACGGAGCGTTTTGCTGTCGATTAACAACTGTTAATATAATCCGTCGATTTGACAAGACGATTGATGAAACGATGTATTGTCACATCTTCTTAAGAATGTGATAATCAAAATGTAACATGGGAAAAATGATTTTGCTGAAGTATTTAAAACGTTTGATCGAATACATAAGATCTGAAAATAATTTTGTTGTAATCATTAAAATAATTATGTAAGACATTTAGGCATGATGACAATACCGTAAAAATGTTCAATATCCTAGTAATCGATTCCTACGTGATTATTTTAATAGGCCAATAAAATTATTTGCAGATCTGGCTAAATTTTTAGATACTTTGACAAAATCATTCTTATCAAATATTTATTTATCATATTTGCAAAATACGTCATTTATCGATATTTTTAGATACTTCAGCAACTTTCAAGTTTTTAAATTTTAGATATTATTAAATTTTAGAATTTAACAATATATATATATATATATATATATAAATTTAAAAATTAAAAAGAGATTATTAGATCTAAGATCCTGCCTGTCGAGTATTGCCACTTATTACTTATTTCTATTTGAATAATATTGTTATAGCGCAAACCACAATGAAACAGTCATTATCTTAGGATAATATCGATATTACGATGGAAATTGCAATATCCAATTTCCATTCAAAGACGTTATATTATATACATTTACGAAGCGATTATTCTAATTATTGGAATATTTTAATGTACAATTCAGCTGATATGGTCTACTAATACATTAGAGGCCGCGTATCATCTAAGCACGAGCGACCCGGTAAGCAGTTGACCGGTAGGTCGAACCTGTCCGAGCGCAATATTCCATTATTATTTATTAATTCAGGGCATACTAGATGCGTATCTCTCTGCACTGCACTACTCGAGATCACGATTCTCTTATCTCTAGTGGCAGTGCAGCAGTGGCTCTCGACTCGCTCGATCCCGCAGCACGACAAAAGCATTAAGCGGCGATTGTTGTAAGAAACTCAAATACGACAAGAAGGTGAATATAAAAAAAAAAAAAAAAATTACAACTTCGAGGAAAACAAAGAGATCTGGAATAGTTTATTAAGTCGAGCGACTTCAACGTGTAAACGCGAGAGTAAATATTAAAATTTCGATAAATAATAAATAAATATTTACAATACAATAAACTTTGTCGCTGCGTCTCCGAGCATCGCTTCAATTTCGCGTGACGTCATCGATCTCCCCCGGATGACACAAAAACAGAACACCGTTCTTCGTCTCCGGGCACGAGTGATTCCCCGAGTTAGGAAGGACGATTGGATATTCCAAGCTCGACTTTCGGACGATTTCGAGTAACTCTCCATTCTTCGGCCGCGTTTGCCTCGCCGGCCGAATCGATCCTCATCGGCGCGCTTATTCGTCGCGGAGCTGGGCGAGGCCCGCTCGCGAGGATCGCGAGCTTTGAATTCTAGCTCTCTCTCTCTCTCTCTCTCTTTTTCTCTCTCAGAGAGAGGAGAAAAGCAGAGAGTACCACCGGAGGCGAGAATACCACTGGACGTGGCAGTGCCACGGCCACGCGGTGTCCACCGCGCCGTGGTACCTTTCCTTGCACGCCGCAATCTCGTGGCATCGGTCTGACCTCTCGGTACCGGCTGGCTACCGTTCTGTGATTACCATGATAATTCGTCGACTCGCCCATACTCGCTCGCGCTCTCCGTCCCGTGGCACGTCGCGGATAATATGCGATACACCCGCGCGCCGGATGCCCGGACGCTTAACGATCGCGGCCGCGGCATGCGCTTTAACCGGCCATTGTCTCTCGGACCGAACTCCGGCCGAATAACAGCCGGGGCTGTTCAACGTGAAACAAATCGCTCGTCGCGATCCGCGCGAACACTCGCGTGAGCGGAAAAATCCAATCGTCACGGCCCGAAGGGCCTGACGATTGCGCGCTTCGCGGCCGACGGGCGGGAACAGAACGGCGGAAATCCACCGGTTCCAAATCGGTTCGGCGCGAGATCCCGACGACCGATTTTCAAATGTTTGTGCATTTCTCTCCCCTCCCCTCCCCTCCCCCCCTTCGATCCCTGCCAGCCATCTGGGATACGCGTCGGTTCGATGAACCAGTTCCGGAACGCGGATCTGGAAGTCGCGAATCGTGCTACCTAAGTCGATCAAACCGCGTACTTTTATCTCTTGCATCGCAAACGCGAGCGCGATAACGCTCACATTTCTCTTCCCGCACGGAGAGAACAATTTTGAAGTATCTGAGAATTTGATCAGATACGAATCTAAGTATGATTTTGACGGTCGAAAAATTTTAGATATTTTAGTAATTAATTTGAATGTGTTTTTAGTAATTATTTTGATGATCCAAGAAA